CCAAGTTTGGCAAATGTGAGTTCTGGTTGAAGGAAGTTGGATTTCTTGGACATGTTATATCAGGATAAGGTATAGTAGTGGATCCTACAAAAGTTCAGTCAATCACCGAGTGGTTGGCACCCACCTTAGTTGGAGAGATCCGCGGTTTTCTTGGACTCGCGGGATACTATCGGAGATTTATTGAGAATTTCTCCAAGATTGCGAAGCCTATGACGGCATTGTTGAAGAAGGATACCAAGTTCCATTGGACAGAGGAATGTGAAGCAAGTTTCCATGAGTTGAAGAAACATTTGACTACAGCCCCGGTGCTGATTCTGCCAGATATACGCAAGGATTTCCAAGTGTATTGCAACGCCTCACGCTTAGGACTTGGAGGAGTACTTATGCAAGACGGAAGAGTTGTTTCATATGCTTCACAACAACTTCGACCACATGAGTTAAATTATGCTACGCATGATTTTGAGTTAGCAGACGTAATGCATGCGCTCAAGACCTGGAGACATTTTCTTATTGGAAACCGTTGTGATGTGTACACGAATCACAAGAGTTTGAAGTACATTTTTACCTAGAAGGAGCTGAACCTTAGGCAAAGGAGATGGTTGGAACTCATAAAGGATTATGATATGAAGTTGCACTATCTCCCAGGCAAGGCCAATGTCGTAGCAGACGCCTTGAGTCGGAAGGGTTATGCCAATACCGTAGTAACAGGAGGACTGCCAAGGGAGTTAGCAGAAGGTCTCAGGGAGCTACATTTGGAGATAGTCCCTAGAGGTTTCATTGCAGCATTGGAGGTTCAGTCAACATTGTTGGAAAAGATCAGAGAAGCTCAGAAAGATGACAAAGAAATTGCTGAAATAAAGGAGAAGATGGGTGAAGGAAAAGCCAAAGGTTTTTTTTAGGACGAGCACGGCACTTTGTGGTTTGAGGACCGTGTTTATGTGCCCAACAATGCAGAGATCAGGAAGTTGATACTTCAGGAAGCCCATGACTCGCCATACTCGATACACCCCGGAAACACCAAGATGTGTTTGGATTTGAAGGAGCATTTCTGGTGGACCTGGATGAAGAAGGATATTGCCGAGTATGTAGCCGTATGTGATGTATGTCAGAGAGTGAAGGCAGAACATCAGAAGCCAGCAGGACTACTGCAGCCTATGCTGATACCCGAATAGAAGTGGGACAAACTTGGCATGGATTTTATCACTAGATTACCCAGGACCCGATCGGGATATGATTCTATCTGGGTAGTAGTGGATCGTTTGACTAAAGTGGCTCACTTTATCCCAGCGAAGACCACCTATACAAGTGCGAAGTTGGCCAAGATATAAACGACCAGGATCGTATGTCTGCATGGAGTTCCGAGGACCATCGTATCAGATAGAGGAACACAGTTTACCTCAAAGTTTTGGCACCAGTTGCACCAGACTTTGGGTACCAGGCTAGAGTTCAATATAGCTTTTCATCCACAGACAGATGGACAGAGTGAGAGAGTCAATCAGATTCTGGAGGACATGTTGAGAGCTTGTGCACTAGATTATGGATCTAGTTGGGATGACAACCTGCCCTACGCGGAGTTCTCATACAACAACACAGCTACCAGGCCAGTTTGAAGATGGCACCATTCAAAGCCCTGTATGGACAGAGGTGCAGGACACCGTTGATGTGGGATGAAGTTGGAGACCGCCAGTTGTTTGGACCAGATTTGATTAAGGAGTCTGAAGAGAAGGTTAAGCTGATTCGAGATAGACTTAAGGTAGCTCAGTCCCGACAGAAGAGTTACGCAGACTCGAAACGCAAGGAGGTAGCCTATGAAATCGGAGAGAGAGCATATCTGCGAATGTCACCCATGCGAGAAGTTAAACGTTTTGGAGTCAAGGGAAAGTTAGCCCACGGAGAGAGTTGGGGATTTCACCGTTTTCATATTTGAATTTTATCGAATATTGAGGCAAGGATCATTTGGTTTTAATAATTTTTCTCTCCGAAAATATTTCATATTAAAATATATGAGAGGAGATAATATGACTTCTCCAAAATAAATGAAATATTGGAGGAAAAATACTAAAATTAAATAATAGATTTTATTTGGATTTTATTGCGATTTATTTGAATTAGGAAAAATATGCATTTTTCAAGAATTGCATTAGAGTCCCAAATAAATGTTCACTTTGTCTGCAATATTATTAGAGGACCGTGAAAATTTATTTTAGGATTTTTGGAGTCCGTTTAGTATTTCCTTCGTTTGTTTTCCGCGTCAGGACTTATTTAAAAAAAAGTCAAACCGACCTACATGCTGTAACCGTCCCGGACTCCCCAGGCCGGCCCCCTTTATAAGGCGCCCGAGCCGCCACTCGCATCCCATCCCGAGCCGCCAGCCCGCCCGCGCCTCCCGAACCCTAGCGCCGCCGCCGCCCTAGCGTGCCGCCGGGTCGTCGCCGCGCAAGCCGCCGGAGCCGCCCGCTGTTCGCCGGAGTTAGCCGCCGTCGTCGTTTTTTTTGTCGGTTTATTTCGGTAAACCCTAGATCTAGATCCGGTTTTTTTAGTTTCTGGTTTAATTTATTAGATCGGTTTTTCGTCGGTTTATTTATTTAACGAACGTTCGTCCGTACGTTCATTTTAATGAACTCCGTTCATCCGTTAGCCGCAGACAGCGAACGTTCGTTCGTTAGCCTGTTCGTCAGTTTTTCTTTTTCCAGGGTTTTTCGTGATTATTTTCGATTGCGATTTCTGCCCTAATCTTCGATCTAGTATATCTTTTCGCTCGTTTATCCAAATCAGGTGAAACAAGCGCCTAGTTCTTCGTCTCGAAGCCCTCGTTCTGTTTAACCAACTTGAATAAGATTTTGGTACTATAAAATTTGACTTTAGTCCAGATTAGTAATCGGATCTTGTTTCTTTCGCAGTTTGAGTTTCATTGCTCCGTTTGATTTTGATTCTTTATGCAAACAGGAGTTCTTCAGTTGAACTTTAGGGTTAGATCTTCTTATTTGAGTTTTCCCCATGCATCTTTGCTTGATTGCTTATGTATGCTATTGTTTGTTTGCGACAGAATACCCGGAGTGTGAAACGTGCTACTACGAGTCACTAGGTTTTGCGGATCGTCGGCAAGACAAGTAACACATTGATCATACTCTTTCATACCCAGTTTTTATGCATTAGTTGCAATCCTCAAACACTGCATGATTAGGATGTGATTAACATGTGGGCATTGGGAAGTAGTTGACGAGGTAGAACCTATTACCTGTTTCTTTATCAAACCCTTGGGAGTTACTTCTACGTTATGCTTATATCGCTATGCTATGCTCGTAGACGTGGTTTGGGTTTGAGAGTATCCATGACAGATGTGAGTTTGTTAATTAATGGTTCAACTTAAGGTGGCAACTTGAATATACATCTGGGTGGATTGTTGGTTTAGGGCACCTGGGGTTATACCAGTGTTTTCCTAGGAGATCCAGGGGTTACACCGTGTGATCCTCCTATGGTCCACCACCCAGGCTCAAAAGGATCATAAGATTATTCATGCTAGAAACTTCCGTGTGCAGCCACAAGCTATTATGGGCTCTAGCATAGTGGAGTAAGTTGCATGACCTCTTCCAGTGGTAGGCTAGCAGATGTAGGGGATGTAGGTTGGTACTGTCTACCCGGGGTTAGAATTAATGCTTCTGAAAAACTGTGTCCCGGTCATCCGTTTCTCAAACACCATGTAGTACGAGAAATCCAACGGACGAGATCGAGTCTTGTGGGGAAAAGTGCGCAATGCAGAGTGTACAAACTAATCATGATTAGCCGTGTCCCCGGTCATGAACAACTTGAGTATCTGGTTCTTGGATTATCATATGGATCTCATCACTCTAAATTAATTTGTTGGGTTGATAATTACTTTTAATTGGGATTGAGATGGGGTTACCATTCTCGATGTTTCAACTACCATGATAGTTAAATAAAATATATTCATTTGTTGTAGGAAAAAATTGGCTTTTCGCAAAACATTATAATCATAGAGCCTCCACCAGCCAAATATGCATGTAGTGATAGCCTTTACCTGTTCATTGCTCTATTGTGTTATTTTGCCAGCATATTTCATGTGCTGACCCGTTTTCGGGCTGCAACGTATCATATTGCAGACTTTTCAGACGAGGAGTAAGATGCCGTAGGTCGTTTGTCATGCACTCGGCTATGCCGTTGGAGTTGATGGACTCACTTTTCTTCCAAGCCTTCCACTGTTATCGTTTTTAGATGGTCTTAAGCCATATTTATTGTAATAAGTTATCCTTTGAGACATTCGATGTAATAAGTGTGTGATTGCTACTCTGTTACAAATCCTTCGAGTATTATGTGTGTCAGCATTACCGGTCCAGGGATGACACTGAACACAGAGACTTGACCGTCTGAGATTGGGTCGCTACATGTTGTATGACAAATCATGACTTGTTCATCATATTTCATCACATGATCATTGAAGACGAAAGAGAGAGATGCCTGGGAATTTTCGATATTGGTTGAGTCAGAGTATGATACAAACATGATTTTGACATTCTTTGAGGAGTATCGCAAGATCGAGAACCATCAAGTTCATACCCAACTCCAACAAGATCTTGTTGGTCATCATTGGCAACGTCTAAGCGAGTCCTAATTGTTCTATGAAATGCTATTTGCTACATTTGAACCATTCGGCGTGTTTAAATTCTGTTTGTAAACTATATTCGTAATTTGGTTGAACATTCAAATTTATGTTTAGTTGCAATTTATACTAGAATTGCAAGGTTTAGAAAAACAAAAAATTACTTTGTTATATTTAAGGAATCAACTAGGTCCAGCCAAAACTTAGTATACTCCACTAAAAGCCTTTTACTCCACTAAATTTTAGTGGATCGGTTAGAGTTGGGCTAAGGTCTGGTTGATGCTCACCGGCACGGCGGAGCCTACCAACCATGCTGCCCCCGCCGCCGCCGCGAAACACTCGAACTTGCCCATCCCCCGCCGCCGACCGCCCCACACTTCCGATGCCGCCAGCCGCGCCGAGCCCGGACCCGTACCGCGACTGGGCCGACCTGCCGGAGCTGCCGCTGGCGGAGGTGCTCCGCCGCCTCCTTCCCTGCATCCGCTCGCTCTACGCCTTCGCGGGGACGTGCCGCCCCTGGCGACACCTGCTCCGCGCCTCCGCCGCCGATCTCATCCGCCCCCGCATCCCGCCGCTCCTCCTCCTCTGCCCCGACTTCCGACTGGTGCCCTTCTCCCCGCTCGTCGTCCCCCAATCCCTCTCGTACCCCATCCCCGCCCTGGCGGAGGGCGCCACGCTCCTCTCCGCCTCACGCGGCCACCTAATCCTCCTCCGCCGGGGCTCCTTCAACAGCCTACACCTCGTCGACGCCCTCACCGGCGCCGAGCGCCGCGCGCTCCAGCTCCCTTCCCCGCACTTCCCCTATCACTACGCAGCGCTCACGCCCTCCCACCTCCTGCTCTTCCACTCCATGCACGCCTTCTTCTCGCTCCCCTTCCCCGAGCATCCAAGCCCCAACAACATCAACGCCCGCCCCGACTGGACCAAGCACGCCCTCCCCCGCGCCGCCTCCATCGTCACGACCGTCATCGAATTCCGCGGGCGCGTCCTCGGCCTGACCGACCGCGCGCAGATACTGGAGTTCCACCTTGGTGGCGCCCCTTCGAACCAGGCAGCCCGACTGCTGCCAACCACCGGCCTTCCGGACGCCACCAGATTCGACAGATTGCAATTCGGGCCGCATTTGGTTGCTGCCGGGAATCGGCTGCTGCTGGTGCTCTTCATGTTTGAAGCAAACTTGGCCCCCCTGGTGTTCCGTGCGCCCAGGGTGAACAAGATCGGTGTGTATGCGCTTGATTGGGCGCGCATGATGTGGGAGGAAGTGGACAACATTGGGGCTTACACCTTGTTCGTGGACATTGCCGGGAGGAGCACGGTGGCTTGTGTGGACGTGGGGAACTGCGGAGTGGAGGAGAACCGAGTTTATGTTGGCGTGCCCAACTCCCGTGCCTGGAGGAGGCCACTACCACCAGGGTGGGAGGCATCACCCAACGTTGAAGGGCTTGGACTGAACTCGAGGGAGACGATGGCGTGCCGACCATTGGCATCACCGATATCGGTTCATCCACGTCTTTTCTTTTGATGATCGTAGCAAAATAAGTCACTGTTTCTACCTGGAACAGATGTCTACATTCAGTTGCTTATTGTAATGTCAATACTGAGCCTATTGTTACTTTGTAGCATCTCATATGGAAATGCTCGCATTGTACGGATTAATCATGCTATTTGATGTGAATATTTGTGCTTGTGCTCTCCTGTTGTTTGGAGATATCTATGTGCATCTCTCTTAAGACTGTGTGGCCTGTAACTTCTCGCACTTACACACTGAGCATCATATGATGAAAATTTACCTTAGCTTGCCAATTGTTGTACTGTACCGCTAAAATTTATATGGTTTGCATCGAAAACTGCTCTTTAATCTAGTTACTAGTTACATGAAGCTGGCCATTTTCTGTTCTGAAGCTCCCTTCATGGTTTTTTGTTAGTTATATATACTTGACTGAAAGTCTATTTCGATGAATTTTGGCTGAGAAAGTGAGTAGCAGCATGTACCTTTTATAAGATCATAACTGACATAGCTTAGGTTCTTAACCATTATCTTGTCATTAGTCATTACACATTGATTAATGATCCTCTACTTCTAATTATTCTCAGTTTCACATCAGCAGTTCCACACAGTAGGGTTTATGAATTCTTTCTTGAAAGTAGCACAATGTGCCTTTTCCATAATAATGACATGATTGTTATGCCTTAATTTCATAACCATTTCTGTTATCATGGATGATACGTTTGTTAGTGGATGATTAACGACTACTGTGTTATCAGCGTCAGATATACAGTTCCACACACAGGGTGATTTGCTAGAACAATGTACCGAATAGTCCACATGTTCTCATAATTTTTCACAATTCTGTCTACAAATCCACCACCATTTTTTCAAATTTCTTAAATGGCCTTTTATGAATGTTAGTCGTGATCAGCAGTAACAGCCAAAAAAAGGACACACTAGATAAAAGCAGCCGCTTTTGATTCTAGCAAGCACATGTATTTTCTGCATTGAAACATGGGAGAAGATGTACATCGAAATTTGTTAAGAAGAGACATAAGAGACCCTCATCATGGAGAGGATTTTCGAGAAGTTCAAAATGCAGGTTTTCATGAGTTCTGCAGTGAACTTTCTACCGTCTTCTAGCTGTAATATATTCAAACTAGGTACAAGAAATGCGAGGATGCTCATTCTCATTGAGTTGGTGATGAAATGGTTCGTGAACTTGAATTTGGGGCTCATCAAACTTTTGCTGCTTCAGCAGGAACGCCGGCCCTCTCAGCGATGATCTGTTCATAGAGATCTCTAATCTTCAGTCCTACAATGGTCTGGAAGAGACCTGTTCCATTGTTGCTGCCTGGGAAGTCTGCATGCTTTAGCATTTGCTGTGTCACCTCCCCGTAGAACTTGGTTGAGAGGTTGCTTAGGTGGCTCTCAACATAGATGAGTTCATCTAGTCTGTCAAATTGCCCATCCATCTCCAGCACCGATACCTGAAATAAACAAGCAAACACTAAGATTGTACAGCATTGTCTGAGGCAGGACCTGTTTGACAGCTAGAATTGTTCTACTCAGTGAATAGTCGATCTCTAGTCTAAGAATGGTTTTGGAGCTCTCTTACTTTGTCCTACTTTGGATTACTTGCTAGGTTTCTTTTGATTTATTTCCAAGTAACAGCAGTTAGCATTACTCGTTTGACACAAAAGGGTAAATAAGCCAAGATGAGTACCTCTTGGCCAAAGTAAGTGTCTGGGCCATAGGAAAATTTGATGCCAGGATAAGAGCATGTAAGCTTTCTTCCACAAGGGATCCAGTTGATGGTTGATCCTTCATCGAAGAGGTAAACCGGGTTGAAGAACTTAATGCCTTCTTTCATGATCAATTTAACTCGCAGCACCTTTCCTTCGTTGTCATCAGGAATCAGCTGGGTTGGCAGAACTTCAATCACAGCATCAGCGTATTGCTTCTGCGGATCTGTCATACCAAGTGGTCAGGTTACATACCATCTTTTATTATTTTTGGTTTATGGAAAACACTTGCTGTGATTAGTTGGTAAAAAGGCAGTACCAATAAAGGCATCAAAATCAGGTTTCCTGGCTTCGATGCTAGCCTTGATGCTTTCAAGACTGTGCCCACGCTCTGCCATGTCTCTCTGCAAAAGTGCCAGTGATTGTTTTTTTAAAGTTAGATAACAGCAACAAAATCCATTGAAACATCTAAACCTTGCTGTTCAGCTCACCTGAATTTTCCATGCGAACTTAACCTCATTGCTGATGTCTAAGTAGATGCTGAAATCAAGGAGCTCTCTCACACGTTCATCGTACCTGGTTTAAAAATTTCTGTTTGTTATAGCTTGCAAAATGATCATGTTTATTTTAGTCAGGGAAATACTGCTAACTGTTAAGCATCAGGGAATCGAATATTTTGTGGAAACTTAACAGAAGTTGCTGCTGTGATTCAAAAGGTTTTATGATGACCACTTACCCAACAGCTACTGGAATATGAGGAAGAAAGAAAGAAAAAACAGACACCAAATACTGAAACAGACAGGAGAAGCATGGGAGTAGAATGTGAACTCACATTGGGTGCAAACCCTCGATGACGAAGATCTTGGGGGGCTGGATGAGCTCCGCCGGGTCGAGGAGGCCAGTGACGTGGTTGTAGATTGGCTTCTCAATAGCCTTGCCTTCCTTGATTGCCTTCACCTGCTCATACATGAGATCAAAGTCGTTTGCCTTGGGGTCCAGGGCGGTCACACCTTTCTCCTTCCTCCCGGTTCTGTCCAAGGAATGGTAGTCATCAAGGCATATGACCGTCGTCGTGTCGCTGATGAGCGTGTTGGAGTCTGGGTTGCCGCCCTTGGGTGGCTCTGCAGCACCTCCAAACACGCTTGTGAGCCGGCGCATGAAGGTGGATTTCCCACATCCCGAGTCTGCTGCCAGGCCAATCACTATTGGCTGCTCAACTGCGCATGAGACCTGGAAGGTCCTTGCCCCATGCCTCGTGTTACTCCTCCTGCTGCTTCTGGTCGTGAAGAGGATGACTTGGTTCTGCCTGAAGCCAGAGTTTGGGATGGTGGTGCATGGGGAGCGCAGGGATGTGGTGCTGTGTGGGCTGCAGAATGCCATGTTTGCTGCCCGACCTCTTGGAGCTGCTCTTCTCCCCTTCAAGCCTTGTAAGTTGTAACTGAGACTTGGGGAGAAGAGAGAGCTTGATGAAAGAACTGTGGAGATAAGAGCTAAGAAAACATAAGGAGGGAAATGAGATGGTGATGATGTGGTGTCCCTATTTCCCCTTTTTTCTCTTTTTCTTTTCTGGAATTCTGGTGATATCAGGGCCAGCTTATAGTGATCTGAAAATGAAACAATCGTGTTTTGCCTGTATTCTTTCCCTGGACGCTGAGCTTTCTTACTACGAAAAGCTTGTGATTCCTTTCTGTGATCATGCCCACTTCCCGGTGATTTATTTTTTTAAAACCTGTATCGGTTAGTTAATCAACTTACTAGTGATCTTTGCTGAAAATTAATCTGTCTGTTGCTTGTCTGTTCGCTGCCAAATACACGAGCGGAGAGCATTTGAAATTCCGTATACGCCATTTACGATATAATGTCCTGCGGTATACTTGTGCCTGTTTTGTCTGTCCTAACCAGTTGGTGCTTGAATTATGATGGCCAGAGACGCTTGGAGGAAAGCTTGGTGGTGGTTCCATGGATCTAGATATGGTTCTGCCACGTGGCAGCGCAAGGATGGCTGGATGCAGATGAGGTAATGGAGGCTGGAAATTGATCGCCGAGAGTTGGAGAGGATATGGCTGATGCCTACTTCACCAAGCTGTAACCATATGTACGTTTATCTTTTTTCAAAGGCGGTCCATGTGTCAGCGTGTGGCCACAGGTATGTGCCATGTCAGCATCCCCAAGTCATTGGATGGCCAGTGGCCGTACGAGACATTCCATAGCATATAAGCATTAAATTGAAGACACAGTTTTCACATGCACCCTCCAAGTAGAATTCCTTTTGACTCGTTACAGAATCATAACTCATCGTTGATCAGAGGAGAATAGAGACACAGCCATGGGCAGAGTAAGACGTGTTGGAATAATTATGCATCTCTGGGATGCCATTAGCAGAAACAGATTGCATCTAGATCACCTAAAACATGAACAGAGAAGGGTTTAGGGTTTCTTTACATGTCACGGGAGTGGACATGATCGCCTGCTCGGTGCAGGCGTGATGCAGGGGTGATGTAGACGAAGTAGATGTTCTCCTCGACGTCCTGATTCCTTCAGGACGCCTCCGGCACTGCCCAGGGACAGCGGCGGCGGCTGGCTTAGGTCTTCCCGTCGCTGCAGCACTCCCCCTGATCGGATGGGGTGAGAGAATATCGGGAGGAGAGTAAACCTTACGTGAATTGTGATCTCGCAGGTGCCCAGCTCTCTCCCGTATCCCTTTTAATATGGCGCTGGCGACAGGGGACCCAAAACCTGAGTTGGTTTTTGGGCGCCCCCGATCAGGGCGCGTTAGTTCTGATCGAGGCTCACGTACGTTGGTACGTGGACCCCTTCACTTATCGTTATCCCTTTATCCCTTTTTTTTTCTTCTGTTAGACTAATAGATCTAACTGCCTGTTTAAGCCGTCAGATCAAAACCAACATTCTCCCCCTTGATCGTTAGGCTTAACTCCATTCGCCCATTCTACATAGGAATGATGTACCAAAGTGAGGTGTTACAACAGCTCAAAACGCCATAGAACCTCAACACTTATAGTACACCCGCCTATTTCGAAATGGAAAACATTTTACTAATTGGGGAGTGGTTTATTTTAATGGTCCTCTTATTCCAGAATCATCAGGCCTCCAGTAGTCCCATGCCGGCAACATGCTCACGAAAGATACTGGGTGGTAAGCCTTTTGTTAGCGGATCCGCAAGCATATGCTTCGTTCTTATATGTTTAACATCAACTGTTTGATCCTGGATTCTATCTTTCACAACACGATACTTTATGTCAATGTGTCTGGCAGCATTACTTGACCTGTTGTTACTCGTATAGAAAACTGCTGGTTCATTATCGCAGTACAATAAAATTGGTTTAGATATGCTGTCAACCACTTTAAGTCCGGGTATAAAATTCTTTAGCCATACAGCCTGCCCGGTGGCCTCATAACATGCTACAAATTCTGCTTGCATCGTAGATCCAGCAGTTAACGTTTGTTTGGAGCTTTTCCACGATATAGCTCCTCCCGTGAGTATGAATATATAACCTGACGTGGATCTCATACTATCCACACACCCGGCAAAATCAGAGTCTGAATAACCAACAATTTCTAGGTTATCAGTTCTTTTATATGTAAGCATGAAGTCCTTAGTTCCTTGCATATAACGCAAGACTTTCTTTGCGGCCTTCCAGTGGTCCGGTCCTGGATTTGATTGGTATCTGCCAAGCACCCCGGTTACAAAACATAAGTCTGGGCGTGTACACACTTGAGCATACATGATGCTTCCAACAGCTGAAGCATAAGGAACCGACTTCATCTGATCAGTTTCACATTGGTTCCTCGGACATTGAAATGTCCCAAACTTATCGCCCTTAACTATAGGAGCAGGTGAGGGTGAGCACTTATGCATATTGAATTTTTTCAGTACTCTCTCAAAGTATGCCTTTTGAGATAGTCCTAACGTTCCTCTGGACCTATCTCGATGAATCTCGATGCCGAGGACATACGAGGCTTCACCAAGATCTTTCATATCAAAACTGGATGACAGAAAATTCTTGGTCTCATGTAGCATATCCTTATCGCTACATGCCAATAATATGTCATCAACGTATAGGACTAAAAATGTGAACCTACTGCCTTTAAACTTAACGTATATGCAGTTGTCCACAACATTTTCGGTGAAACCAAAAGTTTTGATAATTTTATCAAACTTGAGGTACCACTCTCTTGAAGCTTGCTTCAAGCCATAAATTGATTTCTTTAGACGACATGCTAAATGTTCCTTTCCTTCCACAACAAAGCCTTCTGGCTGAGCCATGTAAACATCTTCTTTTAAGTCACCATTTAGAAATGCCGTTTTAACATCCATTTGGTGTAGTTCTAGGTCGTAATGAGCTACTAATGCCATTATGATTCTGAAAGAATCCTTGGTTGACACAGGGGAGAAGGTTTGCTTATAATCAATGCCTTCTCTCTGTGTATACCCTTTTGCCACTAGCCTTGCCTTGAACCGTTCGACATTCCCTTTGGAATCATACTTGGTTTTGTAGACCCACTTGCAGCCTACTTTCTTAGCTCCATCGGGAACTTCTACTAAGTCCCATACATCGTTTGAGCCCATAGATTTCAACTCGTCTTCCATGGCAACCAACCATTTGGACGAATTTTCGCTTTTAATGGCTTCCTTATATGAGGTTGGATCCTCCACCTTTCCCATATCATCCATGTCCTCCATCAAAAAAGTGATATAATCATCTGATATGGCTTTCTTCCTCTCACGCCGTGGTCTACCCATGGGCGGAGGTGGTGGTGGAACATCATCATTTTCATTATTTTCTCGGAGATCCTCATTTGTGTTTGGATTCTCATTATTAGTTTCTGGATCACCATTCGACTGAGAGACTGAACCGTGAGATTCAGGATCATCAGATGTCACATTTCTTCGTATTGGAAAAACAATCTCTTGGATAGTCGGGGATGGAACACAAACCCGCTTCTCCTCAAGATTGATCTCCCTTAAATTTGTGACCTCATTATCCTCAAAAAATACCGCTTGTCTAGTCTCCACAAACTTGGTGGTGTGTCTTGGACAATAAAAACGATATCCCTTTCCCCTATGAGGGTATCCAACGAAGAAACAGCTAACTGTTTTTGGATCCAGTTTCTTAAGTTGTGGATTGAAAACTTTAGCTTCAGTGGGACAACCCCACACCCGTAAGTAATTCAAGCTCGGTTTCTTTCCCGCCCACATCTCGTAAGGTGTGTTCGGTGCTGACTTAGTTGGAGCAAGATTTAGTATGTGTGCAGCTGTCTTTAATGCCTCTATCCAAAGGCTTACTGGTAAACTAGAGTGACTAAGCATGCTTCGCACCATATCCATAAGGGTGCGGTTGCGGCGCTCGGCCACACCATTTTGTTGTGGTTCACCAGGCATTGAGTACTGAGCAATGATTCCATTTTCAGATAAGAACTTGGCAAAAGGTCCAGGAATCTGCCCATAAGGAGCATGCCTACCATAATACTCTCCCCCGCGATCAGACCGTACAACTTTTATTTTTGCGTTCAGTTGATTTTCAACCTCCGCTTTATAGACTTTGAATTTCTCCAAAGCTTCCGATCGGTCACGTATGGGATAAATATACCCATAGCGGGAAAAGTCATCTGTGAATGTAATGAACGAATCAAAACCATCTACAGACTTAACATTAAGGGGTCCACATATGTCGGTGTGAATTAATTCTAAAACCCTTGTGGCTCTAACTGCTCCTTTCTTAATTGTTTTTGCAAATTTTCCTTTAATGCAGTCGACACATTTGTCTGCATCTGAGAAGTCTAGTGGGAGGAGTATTTCATTTTTAACTAAGCGTTCCATTCTCCCCCTCGAAATGTGGCCCAAACGACAATGCCACAATTTCGAAGAATTACTTACTCCTTTCCATTTCTTCTCAACATTAATTGCATCACTCACATGCATAACTGAATCATTATTAAGAGATAACATGTATAGTTGGCCTCGTCTAACACCGATGCCTACATTCTTATTACATGTGATCAAAACAAATTGTTTCTTGCCAAAATGGCACTCATACATATCATCATCTAAACAAGAAACTGAAATCAAATTCCTACTTAAGGTAGGCACATAAAGAACATTATTCAATCTAAGAGTGTGGCCAGTGTGTAGCTCCAACGTGAGAGATCCCACAGCTTCAACATCGGCCTCAACTCCGTTCGCAACCTTAAGCTTTCTTGTTCCTCCTCTTATGGTTTGGATCGTATCGAATCCCTGCATAGAGTTAGCAACGTGAGTGGTTGCCCCTGAATCAATCCACCATGACTTTACTGAAAAATCAACATAAAGTGATTCATCTACAAAAGTAATTTCATCAATACCTCTTTTGTTCATCCATTTT